GATTCTAGGAGAGTTCTTAGAAAATCTTCACAAAGGATGATCAGAAGAAAAGCTAGTTGGCTTATAAGAGCTCTTAAATTAATTATATCTTTGTATGTGCATACATCTATATTAAATACATTACATATGTGTGTGTATGCAAATAAGCATGTATAAATAAATGAGTAGATATACACGTATGTCAGAAATATAGTTTGGAATAAGCTTCTGCTCATAAAAGAGCAAGAGACGTATCCTGTGCAGCAAAGAGGAAATTGGAGAGTTGTGCCTGGAAAATGAGTGTTGTGTTTCTCTGAGGTGCTAGTTTTGATGTTTATACATCCACCCTGGCTTGCTCACGCTTGGCATTTTTCCTAAGGGCTGCTCAGAAATGAATCTCGCCCATGCTGACATTTTTTGCCATTCTGTTCTGCTTATTGTCTGTGTCAGTGGGGATTTTGACACCTTACCACTTACAGAATCTTTTCACGAGCTCCAATAAGCAGCAAAGCAATCATGGTGACATTTAATTGCTCTGTGAACTGGAGATGAGTTGATGTCCTTTAGGTGCTTTCCCATTCTTCGTAGCCATTCTTTCTTGGAAACAGTTGTATGAGTTAGTTTTGGATGAACTGTTTTTCTAGTTACTAAATCTATTACTATCCCCTGCTTTTGTGTTCAGGTTTGTTCTTAAACTAAATGTTTGGAGCTTTTTTCCAATGTTATTTAGCTGTCACGTAACTTTCCACGCGTTTCACTCATAGTGCTTCCACTATCACTACATGGCTTGTGAGTTGGATCAGCCTTTGCTTTGTCTGGGAGTGGAAAGTGATAGTACAGAGAAAATAATCAAACTTTGCACTTTGAGTCAGTGGTAGAAAGAAAAGAAACCGAATCAGGATAAACCAGATACGCTTACTGAGCTTGCTTCTCAGATCAGCTCTAAACCTGTGCAACTCCCCTCCTTCCTGTCCTCACAGCCATCAGTACACCAGTGGATATTATCGTGTCTCTGCCTACTTCCTGGCCTTGATGTTAGGAGATCTACTGCCCATGAGAACTGCTCCAGCCATCATATTCTCGTGCATCACTTACTGGATGATTGGTAATGAATTGATGCTTTTGTTGAACCTGCCATCTGTCAATACGTTTGATATCTGACTTAGCCAGAGTATAATTCCTCTATCTGTAAATTGAAACAGACTAAACCTTCAACTGATTTAGATGCTTGGCATCATAACTTCTGAGGAGTTGGGGGCAGAGGTACCAGCAGTCTTAAGACAGGACCTGCTTGTCCATGTCTTTCGGTAATGCTCTTTGGGACCCTTAGAGCATTCACAGCTGCTGCCAACTCCAAACTAAACTTTTCTTCTTGCTTTCTGTGTCTTTTGTGGGAGTCCAGGGGTACCTCTTTGGGACTTGTGCTATGGCTTTTTATTGGACATTTTTCTTTCTGCTTGACAGGATTTCAAGCTGTAGCAGGCAGATTCTTCTTCTTCATGCTGGCCCTGGTAATGGTGTCCTATACTGCTACAGCCATGTCTCTGGCTATCAGTGCTGGGATGGAAGTGGTTGCTGTGGCCAATCTGCTCATCACTATTTGTTTTGTCCTGATGCTTGTAAGTAAAGCTTGTAAAGGTGTGTGCTGCTCTGGAGGAAACAGCCTTCAGAGTACAGATGGCTTTAGGATCCATACTGAGAGGACTGTCTCCTGTACCGAGCCAGCCCTAAGCATGCAGAGAATCCACAGTTCAGTAGCTCGTCAGCCTTGTGCCTGCAATTTTATTGTTGCTATAGTCAAAGACTTGCCTCTACTTGTAATCATAGGCATAATACTGTGAAGAGATGAAGAGATTCATCTATCGCAGTGTCCCTATATATCTGCTATAGTCTCGGGGCAGGAATGGCATTGTTTGCAGTAAACGGAGTTGTGACTTATTAGTCTCTTGTTTTCTTTCAGATCTTTTCTGGCCTCCTTGTAAACCTCCCTTCTGTAATGGGCTGGCTTAATTGGCTCAAGTACTTCAGCATCCCTCGATATGGCCTTACTGTGAGTACAATGTAGCACTGGTCTCCTGTAGGGAAAGTAATTGCAGTGCTGTGTCTTAGAGAAGTTTGGGCATCACTGGGGTGTTCTATCTGTTGCTGAATGTGGAAGTGCTCCTTAAGATTGCAGTTAGCCCAGGGTACCAGTGCAAAGGAGCCGTTTGCTTCTTGCTTTGACTGACTGTCCCTCCTGCTTCAGTGTGCTGGTGCTGGGTTGTCTGCATGCAGACACAACTTCTGAAAGTGCAGATGGACTCAGATAAATGGGGACATATAGCTGGCAAGACAGAAATCCATGGCTACATCACTGAATTATAACTCTGAAGCCACAGATTCAGACACCAAACCATCCTGCATGTTGAACTTGGAGCAGATCCTCAGAAAGGTAGTAGTTAAGAACTTCAAAATAAGGGCTGGGAACTAATTTTTTTGAGTCACTCCGTTCAAGCCTAAAAGGTATTATCAGTCTTGGAATCATATATACATGTCTTCCATTCATCAGTTTTCTTTAAGTTGTTTCAGCTTTAGCACACTAAATCACTATCTGAAAAATCTGACACCTTTTTCCCCTAGGCTCTTCAAGTGAATGAGTTTAGAGATCTCTACTTCTGTGGTGACAATTCAAATGTTACAGTGTCTGTGGGAAATGCAAGCACTTGTCCACCAGTTACTTCAGGAGCAAGGTAAGTCTACCTCATGAAGATTCTTGGGCCTGAATTGTAATGGCTTGCTTAAGGATTAGCCAGCCTATTTCAAAACATTCTATTACTCACAGGCTAACTATTCACAAGCCAGTCTCTTCAAGAATTTGTAAAAAAAAAAAAAAAAAAAAAAAAAAAAAAAAAAAAAGTGTGCTTTAGAATTATGCAGCCATTTACTCCAAATTGAAGTAGGGATGAAACTTTTCCTAAAAATAGGGAGATTAGCTAAATTTTGTTTTTGATAACTTGGCTCTGGGTTATCAGTTTTATTAAGCAAATCCCAGAGTCAGTTATCAGTGGAAATACAATGTGTATACAATCAGAGAAGAAGTATGAAACAGTAGATTAGAAACATGCCTGTCCTTCAGAGCTTGTTAATATTTACAGACCTAGCAGCAGGTACAGCAGAGAACCAATTCCCTTATTGGAAATGTTCTTTTTCCCCCCATGATAAGTTAAGTTAGTCTGTTTCTGTTATGTCTGTTTTGCAGTTATGGATGGAGGAATCTTAGTGCAACAGGAAAATAAAAGGAACTGCTTGAAGACCTATAGTATCTTGCACAACATAGTAATACCAAATTCTGCCCCTTGCTTTTTTTGCAGGTGCTCTGGTGAAGATTACCTGATCAGCCAAGGAATCGCACCTACTAACATGGCAATGTGGGAAAACATAATAGCTCTTCTATGCATGACTGTTATTTTCCTTCTCATTGCCTATCTCAAACTCCGGTTTATGAGAAAGTTCACATAAATTCCTGCATTGCCTTTCTTCACAGCTTCTCAGGTCTTAAAACTACAAAGCTTATTAGAGCCTACTGGATGTGGCCAAAGATTTCAACTGACTTTACTGGACTTAAGATGGGAATCTTGCCCCATTGTTTCTGGAGAATGATCTCCATATGATTATATGATTTTGTTTGTTAAGAAGAAATGTCTTACTGTAAGATTCCATGGTTTTTGGTGTTTTTTTCTTTTTTTCTGGTAAGAGAATATATTTCTCATAATTCCTTAGGTACTTACCAAATTTTATATTGTAGAGCTGCTGTGGCTAACTTGTAAAGGAAATAGACACAAGGAAATATTTTCCTTTGAAGACATTTATGCTTTTATATGTTGCCCCTTCTAAGTGCCCATCATACCTGAGGAGAGACAGAGACTCATTCGTAGTGTGTTGGAGATGCATTCAGGTTTGAAGTCTGTAAGGAGAATGAGCTCTCAGTGCCAGGCAATAGTGGTTATGCTTTTTGTAGTTACTCCATGGAAAGTATGTCAGTGGAGTAGGAGGAAGAAACGTTTTACTCAGAGGGCTGTGAGGCACTGCACAGGCTGCCCAGGGAAGCTGTGATTGCCCCATCCCTGGAGGCATTCAGGGCCAGGTTGGTTGGGGTCCTGGGCAGCCTGAGCTGCTGGGTGGCAGAGGCTGAAACATTGATGAGATCTAAAGAGCAGTGGTATAAGCCACAGCACCGAAGAGAAATATGATACTGTTGTAATGTAAAAAAAAAAAAAACCCAACACTTTTTACTGCTTAAGAAGCTGTTTAGTGGTTTTTTTTTTTTTTTTTTTTTTTTTTAGAAATGAAAAAATGTATGCGTAGCAAATCTTTTTAGCAGACTTCCTGTTTAAACAGCACCATCTCTATATAGTAAGGTCTTAAGGCTGCACTGAAAAAGACACATAACTCGGCCGTGGTAACCGCAGCAAAGCTTACCACAGTCAGCACAGCCCGCTTGATGCCAGCAGCTTTAGCAAGGAGAGCAGCTTGTCACTTCCATGGAAAACCTCATCTGCTAAGCCAGGGGCAGCACAAAGCCAGAGTATAAAGCCTTTGGCATGGTCCTCTGCAGTATGGGGATTTGATGGGTGGACTGCTCGATGGATGAGGAAACGATTGTGAGATCGGACCCAGAGTGGCTCAGTGTCCAGACGAAGACAGGTTACAAGTGGCGTCCATCAGGGACCGGTGCTCTTCAACATCTTCATTAATGACAAAAGCAGCGGGGCCGGCAGTGGGTGGGAGGTGGTCCTGTCTCTCTGCTCTGCTTTGGTGACACCGTGCCCAGATGTGAACTCGTCGACACAGAAGAGACACAGATCTGTGTCACTGACCTACAGCCGCCCCCTGTCGTACACCGCACCGTCGCCTGCCGCCGCCGCGCAGCCCGACCCCCGTGTCCCCGCATCCGACAGCGCCCCCTAGCGGTCGAGACCCGGCGTTGCGCGAAGGAAGCGGCGTCACCCGGCTCTCTCGGGGTCGCGCACGCGCCGCGACGGCGAGGGGGCGGGACCGCGGCCTTGCGCGAGGGCGACGGCGGAAGCGGCGCCGCGGGAGGGGGTCTGTCGCCATGGCGACCGCAGCGGAGGGGCTGCCCGAGGCCGGCGCGCAGCCCGCCAAGCGTAAGGGACCGGGGGGCCGGGGCCGAGTTTGCTCCTTGGCCGCGCGGCCGCTGGCGGGCTGTCAGGCCGCGGCCCGCGCCCGGCCTAGGGCGGGGCAGGCAGGTTGGGCTGGGGGCTGGCTGCAGGCGGGGACGGCCGGCCGTCCGCCTGCCTGCTGGCTGGAGACGAGATTGCAGTCCCCTCTGGAAACCGAGAGCCTTTGCCTTCAGGCCGGAGGCAAAGTAGAACGGAGCCGTGAGCTGCTTCTGCGAGAAGCAGCACGAGGGCCGGTTGTGGAGGAGCGGGTTTGTGTGAGGGATGCAGCGGTTATCGCTTTCTGTGGCTCCTTGTGAAGCTGACCTGGGGGCGGCTCTCGTGTTTTAAGTCAGTGACCAGAAATAAAGATCAGCAGCGTTGCGTGCAGAGTCCTTGGAAGCCAGTCCCACGAAGGCCCACCCCCAGGCCCTTTAGGGGCTGAGCTGTGTAACAGCAGTCAGGACGGCTGTCTGCCCCTTACACGCCTCCTGGAGTGCTGTAAAGTAGCCTTGACGCTCCTTTAAGAAAACAGCCACGGTTTGTTACCCTTTAGTGTAAAGGAGACGTTTTGTGTAGAAGGTAGGTCAGTATAAAAAAGTAGCCCCAAACAATGGGTCTGTTTCATTCTTATGGTCTCTTTCTCTACCTGCTGACTTTCCCTGATCCTGTGATGTCTGTACCCTGATCAGAGGATCCCGCTGTGGAAACAGCAGAGGAAGCTAAGGAACCAGCAGAAGCGGACATCAATGAGCTCTGTAAAGATATGTTCAGCAAAATGGCCACTTACTTAACGGGTGAACTGACAGGTAAGGCATTGCAATGCTGACTTGCAAGTAAATTTATGTTTCTTTTCATTTTCTCTTAAGAAACTCTGTTGTGTTGTTTGTATATAAACTGTATGTTATAATATCTAGCAAAACTGGCAGTTCAAGACTTATATGTTGCTAGACTGCTAACAATGCTGACATTAGTAAATTGATGACTTAATGAAGTCCCAGATTAGTACAGATATTTTTTCAAATATTCAGTTTATCAGAGACCAGAATGAGTTATTTTTCTGTTCTGCAGAAGCTTGTGCATGTTATGGAGAAGTGTAGGTGAAGAAGAACAGGAAGAGAAGCAGAGCTGAGAGTGGAACATATGTAGCTATTTCCTATCTGAGTGAGAGCACGGCTCATACGTACATTTTCCAGTATTCACGCTTTAGAATAAACTGTGAAAAGTAAACTGAAATGTTAGTTTCAGGAGATTTATACTGCCTTAGATCATTGCACTGTGGGAACTTTTTAAAGCTTTCTAAGTTGTTTATCAGTTAAAATCATAACATTTGGTAACTGTTCTGTTTATCCTAGGTGCTTCATATGCTCATTTTTAAAGGTCGCAGTGTTGTATGACTCCTTTGGTTCTGTATCAGGCAATGACAGTAATTTAGGTTGAAAGGTACCCCCGCAGATCATCTAAGTTCCTGCTAAAAGCAAGAAAGACTTAGCAGTTAGATCACTGATGCAAATACCTGTTGAGCTACTTCTTAAGGCTGCTGATATCTGTAATACCATTATCCTTCCAAATTACTGTGCGTGTGTAGAAGATCTGTTATCCCTGTAATATGAATAGGGAACCAGAAACCTTGTAATTTGTCTTCTGAACATCACTGTATTCTGTCTTGAGATCCTGAATCAAAGTGACTTTGCTGCGATAGGCAAGGATGTCTGTGAGACTGAGAAAGTACTGGGATTGCCCAAAGCTCAATCTACATACATATACAGCGTTATACTAATACCTCTACTGCCATCTAAACTATTCCTACTGTATTTGGCTGTTGCTTTGAAATCTCTTGTCTTCTAGAAAAGTCTGTACCCAGTTCAAACTGCACCAGCATTTAATTAAAATAAACTCTATTGTTTTTAAGCCACCAGCGAAGACTACAAGCTCTTGGAAAACATGAACAAGTTGACGAGCTTGAAGTACCTCGAAATGAAAGATATTGCTATAAACATCAGTAGAAATCTGAAGGATTTAAATCAAAAATGTAAGTAAACCAGATAAGGGAGGAGAATAATTAACTGTGCTCTTGTATGGGAGCTGGAGTATCTAAGACGTTGATAGTTTACCTTCCAGTGGTTCTGAAGGAAAAAAAACTCATTAAGAGCTGTATAGTGTTAGAAAATGCCAATCTTCTGTACTTCATTACAGCTATAGACTATGTAGACTAAACTAAGAGAACTTACATACTGTACTACCCCCAGATTTTGAAATAAGGACTAAATAACACTACTTTTGATACAATTGTATTGTTATTTGTGTTGAGTCTAACAGTGCTCGTAAAGATTTTGTTTTATGCTGGAATACGTCTGTCAGTACCACTACCTGATTTTGGAGTGGGAAAAGGAAGGAGCTTTTAAACTATTTTATCTGAAGAACATAATGAGTGTGAACTGTTTACTGGAATTGAATTAGTAAGAACTGACATCTGGTATTTTTCTGGCCTTTAAAGATGCTGCTCTTCAGCCATATCTGGAACAAATCAACCTAATTGAGGAGCAGGTTGCAGCTCTGGAACAGGCAGCTTATAAATTGGATGCGTATTCCAAAAAACTTGGTAACTATTGTCTTCTGCTCTTACTACCTAGCAGCCTAGTCCTGTGTAAGGAGATTTAAGAAAACAAAGTAAACTGCTTTGTTTAACATGTCTCAGTGACAGAGTTGCCCATGCAGCATAGTATTGATCACTTTCAAAATAATGACCGGTAGAAGTGTATGTGAAGCAGAAAATGTTGATAAAAGATTAATGTTTGAATTTATAAGGACATAGACTCATATAGGTCTTACTGAACTGTAGCTTGTTAATGAGTCTTAATTTCTTTTGTGCAATATGGACTGATACAAACATTCAAGACACATACTTAATCTTGCAAATTGAGGCATTTATAAAGTTCCACCAGGCACCTAAGTCCCCTTGGCTTATGTTAATGTGAATTGTCTGACCTGAGTATCTAGTTCTTAAAAATCCCATTGTTCAATTAGATTTGCCCAAATGCTTTAGGAGAAGGTGGCCCCAAGTGATTCATCTAAATTAAATTGGATTTCAAGATGTATAGAAGAGTACAGGATTCAAATCTTTTACCTGTCCAGTCCTAAAACACTGTTATTTTTCCTTCTGCAGAAGCCAAGTACAAAAAACTGGAGAAACGATGAAACTGCAACTGTCTTTTTAAGTTGGAGTTGGGCTGTGGGTCAAACTGATCTCTGAGTTGCACAACATCGCTTTTATATGTTGACAAGGATTTGGTAATAGCTAACGTAAGACTGTTTTTTTTTTTTTAATCTATTGAATACAGTTGGCTGTATTCAGGCCTAAGGCTGAATGGTGTTTTCCTCTTCTGTAATGTTTCTGTTGCCTCAGTTCAGCAGTGGAAAGTTGAAACTTGTCCCTAACCCACATCTTGATACTGGCTATCCCTCCATTAGTCCTATGTTCAACGTGAAACATTCTACCAAGGAAGAGCCCTGCATAACCTACAAAGACATTTTCACTTAGTAGCAGCAGGACATTAAACCAATTTTTTTCTTTCATTGAGGTCTGTATTGAGAAGATTCCCTGGCCTTTGGAGTTGTGAGCATGGTATTGAAAACACTTAAGTTTGTTATGCATTTTTATCTGTTTAAAATAGAGAGACTAGTTATTATAAACTTAAAATAAAACAACTTGCTACATTTGTCTCTCTGAAATCTCACAAATTCCTGTTGGAAAGGCTATGTAAGTTTTTCATAGGGTCTGATAATAAAGACAAACACTGTACAGTTACTGGAAATTGTAGAAAAAAACCATGCTTTAAACTCTTGTGTGAAGTATTCCTGCATTTATATCCTTTGACTGTCCTGATCTCTGGTGAAATTACAATCACTTCAACATGTGCTTAGTTAACTTAGTACATCCTTTCTCTACTTTCCCAAAGAAGTTTCTGTGTTTTTGATCCTATTCATTTTTGAAGAGGTATGCCCAGCACAGAAAATTCCTCTACCAGGTGAACAGTACTCCAAATGGCTAATTTGACAGAAACCTTTTTACTGAACACCCAGACAAAGTTTGGGCTTTCTTATACCTATTGACTCAAACTAGTTGAAGCTGGCTTTTGATTGGATTCCAGTAGAGAACAGAACAATTACTGATAGAGTTCAAACTTCATACTAGCTGTTTGGAAGTGTGATTTGTGAGGTGCCAATATGGTAAATGGTAAAGAGCACGATTCTGCCAGTTATTGTATAACCACTGTATAGATGGTTGATGGTCAAGTTTTCCTTAGTGCTATTTAAAAACTGTACAGCAAGACCTTTGAGAGCCTTCAGCATCACTTAGAAAGTCCTGGGTTTTAACATGGAAAGTGCTACTCTGCATGACTGATGTAGACTCTGAGAAAGGTTTTTTTGAATGAGCATCCATATATTAACAGGGTTGAGTCTCCCAAAGATAACCATGTATGTGTGTCTGTGTTGCTTTTGCTCACAGTTAGTTCACTGATGAGTTTTCTACCTGTGTAATTAATTAAACATTAGTACTGTTATGAGAGCAACTTCCTCCAGCCCAACAAGAGGATGTAGTGACACACATCTAAACCCTTCGTGCCTAGAAACTGGTATTTGAATGACAGTAGTTTCTTTGTGATCTTTGATGCTCAAAAGTGTAATGTATCAACAGCAATAAGACGGTGTGGCAGAGTCCTGTTTCCCCAGCGTTTCATGCACCTGTGATTGTAGGAGAGGTGAGCGTGTTTCAGCCAGACTCACCAGTGTTGACAGTACCATCCCTTTGCTGTTATGGAGGAGGATCACAGATCCTTGGCTGCTGATAAGAAATCTATCTTGAGGGTGCTACTCAGATCCTCTGCTCCCTGAACAAATTGGAATTTTCATTACAACATATTGCATTCACATGTGGGTGGGAACATAATTCCTGATCCCCTGCCAGTCCTCTTACCTGACCCCTATCCATCTCTAAGAACAGAAAACGCAGTAGTTCCTATCAGGTTGGAAATGGTTCTTGACATGTGGGCATCAGAATCTAGAGCTGAATAGTCACTGGGAATCTTAGCAGCATAGGCTCATCTGGGATTGAAACGAGACCATTGCCCTTCCAGCCTAGTGGTTTCTTTGATTTCCTACTCCTTCCTGGAAAGTGGTGCTGGAAGTACATAGCTAGTGCTAACATAGGGGGAGTATTCTCCACTGCAGAATAGCAGCTGGCCCTGTGCTATGGCAAGATGCAAGGGCAATGTGAAATGGTGGCAGATTTGCATCCCCGTATTACACTGTCAATCTGGCCATGTGCCGTGTAGAGCATTGTGATCTTGTCTATGTGATGAGTCAGATGCGTAGCTCTAAGTGCCAGTGACTTGTCCTAGCACTAGTCAGCAAGTCAAATAAATTCTTCTTTTGTCAGATAACCTACCAATCAAATACTGGATACAGAATGGAACGTGACTCAGACAGGCTCCATACTGTAATGGCAGTGTGCTGGCAATTATGTGCAAGTCAGCTCCATTATCAGATGTGTACCATGTTATCAGACCTTGTGGAGACAAACCAAGTTGGGTACAGAACTGAATACAGGTCAGCCCTGCTGTATTTAAGATGCGTTGCAGTCACCATCCCATTTTCCTTAGTACATGCTGTCCACGTTACACTTGAGACACTGAAACTCGTAGTGTTCTAAGAATCCTCTGTCACTGGAATCGTTATAGCAGCCTTGCTGTGTAACCTGAACAGACCATGAAGAACTGCACTGCTCTCCACGCTGTTTTCTATTTATGTCCTTCAATGCTTCCTACTGTGGCTGCCTTAGACCCTGTTTATCTTGATGCCATGGGAAGGCATGTAATGGAGAATATATTTCAGAGCTCTTAGTCTTGCTTAGAAGAAAAAGGAAAAAAAAAAGGTGTCATCATCTTTAATATTTGTTCAGTGCATAAATCTCCCCCCGTGCCACAGTTTCTTCCCTAAAACATGCAATCATAGAATAGTTGAGGTTGAAAGGGATCTCAAAGCCAATTTCTCCAACCTCCTGCTCAAGCATGGTCACCTGGAATGGCTCACCTAGGACCATGCAGCATGTGATATTGCCACTGCCAGCTTTGGACATTATGGCAAGCAGATTGAAAGTTTTCCTAACACAGAATTTGGATATATATTCTGCCCTGTTTGGGCAAAGATACTGCACGTAAAGATAGACTTGCTAGCCAAGGAAGAGCACATTCTCAAGCGCGCAAAGGCTAAGGTTTGTCCTTCAGTTGGCAGAAAACTGGAAATTTATGATTAGACAGATTGTCACTGCAGAACACCACTCTGGACTACACGTGTATTAGCTGTAAGCTGTAAGCAGCATCTCTCTGGTCTCCAAAGATATGTCTGAAAGCTGAGGGTGCTGTCGGTGTCACAACTGAAACGGGATTAGTGCCTTCTAAGAGAGCATCCATGCACATTTTATTAGCAGGTACTCTTTCTCTCTCTTCAGGGTCAAGGCAGTCAAGGGGACAGAGTGACAGTAGTCAGATAAATACATGTGAGTAAAATCTCATTACCTCTACACTTGCCTCACCCTGGAGAGTGCTGTCTGCATGGAGCTTCCTAGCCTTCCCCATGCCACCTCTTTACTGTTAGAGCCCCAGCATCTGGTTTGTCTTTCTAGTGAGGCTGAAGAATAGGTTTAAATACACTTCAGTGGCAGTTGTGTTTGTGTATGTTTTTCTTAGAACTGCTGACTTAGCCACATCTTGTTTTACTCATGGATGCATTTGGTGGTTGATGTGAGATTCTCTCACCACACAGTACAAACTGACATGCTATTGGAGAGTCTGGGAATCTATATGATCAAAGCATAGGAAATTTCAAAGAAAAATAATACAGCATTTCTCTGCTTCTCTTCCTTTTTGGCAGATTTGCAAGATGGCCACAAGAGGGTGATGTTTCAGCAGAGAAAACTTCCGTAAGATAAAGTAGTTAAAACAAAGGACCAGTATTGTGTTAAAACTATTGCTTTTCTCCTTGAAGAAAAAGCTGTGCTGTTTTAAAATTACAAAGGTGGAAAACTCCAGGAACTCTGAAGATGGGGAACCATCTAGCTATGTGTTGCACTTTGTGTTTTCAAGTAAAAGAGTTAAGACATAGTAAACTGCTCCACAGACTCCTGAGTGTTGCACCTGCAGGAGGCAGAGACTGGAGATGCCTCACAAGCGACTGTTCACTGGGAGAAAATTTTAGAGAATGAGTACCTGAGTGATTATGTGATGGTGGCATCCCAATTATGCCAGGAGCTGGCAACTGTGTTCTCATTTCTGTCTTTAAATAGCCATTCTCCTCTCTGAGGGCTCTCTGTGTGAGTGGTGGAATCCAAATCATGGCAAGTTTGGCAGGTCTTTGAAAAGCAGCACCACAGGAGAGACATGGTGAAATTCCTTTGAACAGCGTATTGCTAGCAAACTGTGTAGTCCAAAAGGTTGCTGTTCAAATATTTTGCCTGGAAAGTCCATGAGACATCGCAGAGGAAGCACAAGGAGATGGTAAACCTTCCTCTCTTCTCTTCTGTGGCATTTCCTGGTGCAAAAGATAATAAGAAAATAGTAGTGTTTGAAGAAAGAACATGGAAGATCACAGAGGAAAGAGGGTTGATGGATTGGAATCAAGGGACAGAGTATTTCATTAAAGTGATTTGTGCAACTGCTTTGAAGCTGAAAGCAGTTCTTGACAAGTTGAACTGCAACTGCAAACTGGGGATAAAACTTATCCTAGCAAATACAGCAAATATGGCAGAAGTTATCCAATATTGGTCTCTAGCTAAATATGTTACGTGTGCAGTGTTGCACCTGATGGCAAGCATACAAGAGAAAAAAGCAATATGTAGAGAACAAACATTCTGTGAAAGTATGATGAGTTTTGTTAATGAGAGATTTGTTAATGATTAATGTTTGTCCCTGCTTTCTGGTATTACAGTAGAATGAAGTGGAACCTTGACAGAGGTCAAGGTTAAAAAAAATAATTAAAAAAAAAAAAAAAGCAGTTCATCCAAGTTTGTCAGCAGCTATTGGTTTTATCTAACCAGTTATGCTTAATCCAGAGGAAGCAGGAGCTATTGATTGCCTTTGCACTGTTATTTATTTATTTAATTTATTTATTAAGCTATAGCATACACAAAGGGAGATTTCCAGGATGCAGCATCAAGCCCTCCTTTGATTCAGCATTCCTGTTTCATGTTGTAATGGAACCCCTGGGATTCACAACTATTTTCTTACTGTTTGCATTGTTTATCTCCTTGTCTCTTCAGCCTACATGGAGGAAGTTGTCTGAAATAGGGAAGTTGCCTCCTGAACCGTTTGCTTTGCCCTTCATAAGAAATACACTAACCAGACCTGAAGAATGACTTGCCTTCAGAAGATGTCGAGGGAGTTTGCACGATTTGATGGTGCACATTAAGCAGAACCTGGTCCAGTGATTAAAAAACTTGGGACTGTATTGTAGTTGTAATAATAAGGGTGTATTTTTTAAGATGAATTATATTTGTCTAGAGACTGATCAGTTGGTGATGGCAATGCACTCCCTCTCTATTGGGTATCTCATCCACAGGTAATCCAGAAGAGCCCTTCTCAGGCATGTTTTGAGCCAGTGCTGAGTTTCTAAAGTATGTTTTGGAAAAACAAAAAAAGATACTGTGAGCTACATGGTACCTTTTTTACTGTGATGATTTCCATCTAAACTTTTTAATTCACTAGTCCCATGCATTTTCCTCTGAGAGTTATTACGGCTGGGTAGGTTTGTTTTTCTTTTGGTGATGGTGTTATTTGTACTAACAAAAGCTTTAAGAAAACCTAGAATAGTGGAGCAGGATAGGCAGTAACCAGAGGTAGTAAGTAACCTTACTTCAGCTCTTTAGCTGAACCTGTGCCTGTGTCCTAACCAATTTGTTTATGCCTATGTGTAGCTAAAAGATCAACTTGTGGAATGACTGTGACAGTTTTGCTCACTCATTCCTAGGCATGTGTCCCCAAGATACAGAGCAGTCTCACACACTGCTTATAGAAAGGATTACAGTTGAAGAGGCAAGAGTATTGACAGAGCAAAAAACATCACCATTCTTTCTTGCTTTGACTCAATACAGTTGACAAAATAGAAATGATGGAATGAAAATTAGTCCATGACTGTGAGGTTGGTACATGAATAATCACTTGAATAAGTAGTTCATAAGGACTGCAAAGAAAAATGGTTATGGACCAGTTCACCAACTGACAATATAAAATCAAAGAAAGACCCCGTTCAGATGATTGAAACCAAGCGCATGACACAAATTCTGTCATACAGGAGGTTAAGCAATGAAGATCAATATGAATGTATGTGCTTAATTAATGGGAGGTGGAGATGTTGATATCACATCCAAGAAACAAAGCAATGGATACCAAATCTGGTGCAAGCCATTTGCTGATAGTTGCTGATTTTGGTCACATAAAATCAAAGAATGGCCGGGATTGGAAAGGACCTCAAGGATCATCAAGCTCCAACCCCCCTACCAGATGCAGAGCCACCAACCTCTCCATTTAATAGTAGACCAGGCTGCCCACAGCCCCATACAACCTGGCCTTGAACACCTCTAGGGATGGGGCATCCACAACATCCCTGGGCAGCCTGTTCCAGAATCTCACCACTCTCATAGTAAAGAACTTCCCCCTGACATCCAACCTAAATCTTCCCTCACTCAATTTAAAACCATTCCCCCTTGTCCTGCAGTTATCTTCCCTTTCAAAGAGTTGAGGTCCTAACATGCAGAGCCCTTATTAAGGTTATAATAACCTGAACTTTGAGATGACAAGGATAGGGAATTTAAGAAAGCTGTCTCATGCAAAGTTATTTGATAGTTCAGTCACACAATGTGGTGTAAACCTCCACCCTCTAATGCAGGGTCTGAGCTGTGCTATAAACCTTAATGTTTGTTATTCTCAGGAATCTGAGTATGCACTATCACAAATCTGTATGACAGCAGAGAATTTCTAGATCCAGATCAATTCATGCCAGAGCATTTCTTGGATAGAAATGGTGATTTTAAGGCAAGTGAGTTGTTTCTGTCTTTTTCTGCAAGGAGTTAAACTGTGTTTCTTTCAGATCCCAGACTCTTCTTTGGCTTTGCCTTGACTTGGATCGCCTGAGAAACTTTAAATTGTCTACAGCAGTGGAATGCAGTGCCCAGGGAGATGACTGAGTCACCATCCTTGGAGGTGTTTGAGAAATGTTAAGGTGTTGTACTGATGGACATTGTTGGTGGATGAAAAACTTAACATGAGCCAGCAGTGTGCTCTTGCAGCTCAGAAAGCAAATGGTATCCTGGGGTCCATCAGAAGAGAGGTAGCCAGCAGGGAGAGGGAGGTGATTGTCTCTACTCTGCCCTTGTGAGACCCCATCTGGAGTACTGTGTCCAGGTCTAGTGTCCCCAATAAAAGAAAAACAGGGAACTGTTAGAGAGGGTCCAGAGGATGGCCACAAAGATGATGAGAGGGCTGAAGCACCTCCCCTACGAAGATGGACTGAGGGAGCTGGGTTTATTCAGCCTGGAGAGAAGAAGGCTGCGGGGTGACCTCATTGCAGACTTCCAGTACCTTAAAGGGAGCCTACAAAGAGGAGGGGAGTTAACTCGTTACAAGGGTAGATAATGGCAGGACAAGGGGAAATGGTTTTAAGTAGAAGGAGGGAAGACTAATTTGAACATCAGGGGGAAGTTCTTTACCAAGAGAGTGGTGAGGTGCAGAAACAGGCTGCCTAGAGTGGATGCCCTGTCCCTGGAGGTTTTCAAAGCCCAGGTGGGGCCCTGGACAGCATGGTCTAGTATTAGATATGGGGATTGGTGGCCCTGCACGTGGCAGGAGAATTGGAGCTTGATGATCCTTGAAGTCCCTTCCAATCCAAGCCTTTCTATGATTCTATGACTGTTTAGTGAGGAAATATTGGTTGGACTGGATGATCTTGGAGGTCTTTTTCAACCTTGGTGCTCCTTCTTGATTGAAATGTTGTTATGCTACCTCTCTGTTCCAGACACATTTGTGTCTTTCCTTCGGGCATTGTCCTTAGCCACAGTTTAGCCTGAAGCAACCAGATCATAATCCTAGCAGATACTCACATATCTTCATTTTTTTGTCTGTATTGTATGGATGAGAAACAATGAAGTTGAGAAACTAGGTTTGCGCAATCTGAAAATCCTGCATGGTTTGATTTTTCTGTAGAGCTTTAACATGACATTGTGGTGATATTACAAGTACTATATTGTTCCACATAGCAAAGATTCAGCTCTGTTTTCACTGCAATCACAGTAAGCTATATGTTGCAGGGCATGTGATCAGTTTGGGAAATGCCAGACCTGAATCCATAGATCTGTCTTTGTCAGTTCATACACATCTTCTAAGTGATGTTTTAAAAATTAATTTAGTGATCTGCACATACTTCATAAAAGTAATGAGAAGAAGCCAGATGCCATTCAGCTTGTAAATGGCATAATGGAGATCCCAGTATTATTTCACTCTTTTTTATCACAGTGAAAAGTAATTGCAGATTTTGCTCTGGTAGGACTAATAAGGTCAGTCCAGTCTTCTTCCACATTGTTTCTGAGAATGGAAGTTTTCTAGATCATGTCTTAAAGCCATAGTGCATTTCATATAAACAAGTGAAATAAAACAGTCAGATATGTACCTATTTTGGACAGTATTTGTGTATCTAAGCTTTGTGGAGAAGGGTTTTCCACTGGAACATGTCTTTCAGGAATGTAAAAAAACAATTTGGTGCACTACTTCTCATTAGATTTGCAGTATAGATTTTATTTTTACAGACCTTCACTATAATTACAGAAGAGAGGATCCATTTGCTCAGCCATCATATTAACTTGTTCCACACTATGGGTAAATGATATGTACTAGGACAAGAATACAGTAGATGGTCGTGTTCTGACAGAATGAAATGGTTCCATGTTGCTTTATGATTTCCTTTACAAACAGATCACAAGCAACAGATCACTGAAAACACAGAGAGATGTGCCTGAAACAGTCTGTGGGGCAAGCATCTTTTCCTTCTATGCTGAGAGGTTCAGGTGATGGGGACAGCAGCAGCAGCAGCAGCAGCAAAAGGGTTCTTAGAGCCTGCACAACCTGACACATCAGGAACTAGACAGGAACTTGAGCTGGTAATGTAAGTGCAAAGGAGAGCCTCTATCATTCTCCCTAAGAACTGTCACCTTCCCTACACATTCACCCACTATGATTCTGTTTAGAGCTGGCTGTACTGATTATAAGAACAGCATGCAATTACTTTTCTTTAAAAGCATAACTTTTCTGTCCCTGAAGAAACTAGCGAATTATCTGAGTGTCTCAGTCTCATCAGGATGGGCAATGACTGTCGTTCAAGAAGACTGTCATTCTAATTTGAGAGGTGCCAGCTGTCTTCACTTGTCTAACGTGGAATAAATGACACTTCATAAGATCGGGGAGCTTTTCCTGCAGAGGTGACTATGGGAGAAGTGTCAACATCCTTGTGATCTACAACGGGCTTCAGAGTAAAGTTCTGCAGGATGGATGTTAAAAATAAGAATATCTCCATGCGGGCCAGACCTTCTCCTGCACAGATGCGTTTTCCTGCAAGGAAAGAATGAGGAGAACAGGAGATGATGGTAGAGTACTTTTGCTGGTAACTTATTTTAACCCCTCTGCCGTGAGAGTTCCGACATCTCAGAGTGGGCATGCAGCACTGCATCCTTCTGGGGAAGTGAAGTGAATTAAACTGAGGTCTCAGTGCTCAGAACAGTGTGAGAGTACTGGGTGGGCCAATGCAATTTGAAGGTTTCAGTTTCTCGTGTTGTGTTGCTGCTTTATGGCTAGCTAGGAGAGAGAAGTGGCATGGCTACAAGTCCCACTTCATGCATCTTTTCTTGGAGGATGCATCAGAGGAGCTCTGGTACTTGTTAAGAAAAGGAGGTAAACTGAAACTGTAGTATATGGGGTAGAGCTTAGCTGCCCAGAAGTGAGCAGCAGATCTGCAGACATCACTGTTCAGACAGGGCTGACAGAGCCACTGAAATGTCTGAAGAGGTTCTGGGAGAGGATAGTCTAGGTCCTGACGTAGAAAGAGCTCTTTACCTGTGGAAAATGGCAAGAAGTAGTCACTCTTTCTGAAGGTACCATTTGCATTCAGGAAATGTTCCGGGTCAAATTTTTCTGGATTAGGAAATTCCTTGGAGTCTTGCAGGATGGGAGACAGCAAAGGGAATATCATGGTGTCCTGAATAAGCATAGAGAGGAGAAAGTTAAGTGGAGACATGCCAAAGAGAAGCTCCATGGATCAGTTCCCAGGGCTGAATACATGAAAAGCCTTGCTTTGGTGACTGCTGCGTGATCCCAGTAAGCTTCACTGTCTGCCAGAATTAAGTGTTGAAATGTCATGAGAAAAGCTGATAGAACTGCAAAAATGGTGAGTGGTGCAGACTTGGGGCACATTTAGAAGGCTTAGAGAAACTGTATTTTCTAAGACCAACAGCACCCATTCATATCTAGAATTAGATAGCTTTTTTTCGTAGTTGCAGTTCATTGAGTAATAATTATTTGTATTGCAAGTGAAAAGTTGGAAGAATGATATACAAAAAGAAATGGTATTTGCATCTATAATAGAACCTCATAAAGACTGTTTTGGTTCTCTTGAATGATTAGAGGAATGATCGAGAATAAATTATCATTTCAGCTTCCTCGGATTCCATCAGTATCACACATATTGGTGAGAAAGGATCATCAGAAAACTTATTGGAGCTCTGGAGCTCTGAACACCTAACTCTGCACATGTAGATGTGTTGTGAAAAACTTGGTGATGTATAAAACTTCTCAGATTAAATCCTTATTAAATTCACATATACTAGAAGAAAGTTATAAGCACTCTGCCTACACAAAGGAGAACAGCTGGAAAGACATCGTTACTAATAACTGATTCATGGCCATAGACTGTACTGCCAGGGAAGTGGTGGAGTCACCAATCCTGGAGATGTTCACGGAATGTTTAGACGTTATGTTGAGGGACATGATTCAGTGACAAATATTGGTGATAGGTTCATGCTTGGACTGGATGATCTTGTGGGTCTTTTCCAACCTTGGTGATTTCGTGATTCTATGACTCTATGATGTCAATAGCTCTGGTTGGAAGGGACCCCAAGGTTCATCAAGTTCCAACCCCCATGCCACAGGCAGAGAAATAGTCTTTCTCTACTCCTGTAAAAAGAGAAAACAGCATGTTTTGTATGAGTAGGGAAGGTTTAGCCACATATAAGCTAGCAGTCTTTAAATAAAAAAACGTATTCCATAAGTATGGCAAAGATGTTCTGTTTTAACAGTATTTAAACATCTTTTAACAGTAAGGTTGGCTAGATAATTTAATATGGTTTTCAAATAAACGAGAACTTTGATTGTTTACATTTGTGTGAAAAAAAGTGGAAGCTTGATCTCCCTCTTCATACAGAGAATGGAAAAGCTTTTTTCAAATACAATGAGAGGGATGCAAGAATTAGAATTAAATGTGGAGATTGGTGGCCCTGCCCGTGGGAGGGTTGGAGATTCATGATACTTGAGGTCCCTTCCAACCCAGGCCATTCTGTGTTTCTGTGAAGAAATCATAGAATATCCTGCCAAACCAAATTATTCGGATTTGTATTGCATTTCAGTGTGTTTGAAACATAAGTAAAATGTGATTTATTTATCACATCACTGCTTTCAAGGGAAAATAATTTCTCCCAATAACACACCTTGGGAATGAAATAGTCTCTGATCTTGATGTCCTTGGTCACAGCATGTGGTAGGTTAACTGGAAGGAAATCAATGAATCTCTGGATTTCATGGATCACAGCATCTGTGTATGGCATCTGGCTCCTGTCTGCCATGCAGGGCCTTCGGTCTCGGCCCACCACACGGTCAATCTCCTTGTGAATTTTCTCTGTTGGGGAATAAGTAAATTGAACGGATGTTTCCCAAAGCCTTTCCTCACAGTTGCAGCAAGGACAAGAACACAGGAACATACTTGGTACTGATGGCTCTCTGCTGGAAGTAAACCTAGGACTGATGGACATTTCTGCTATTAGGGACTGTTGCCACCAGTGGTAGTGACACAAACTGTCTGCTTTGAACCCATGGCCTATGATATATCTTCAAGTAAATATTCCCTTTCCTCTTACCTTCAATCTCTGGGTATTTCTGGAGAATCAGGAGTCCGAATCTCAGTGTGGTGCTGGTTGTCCCAGTTCCCGCAAGGAACAAGTCAAGTGTGGTCCTGGTCAAGGACTCAACAGTGAAAATAGAGTTCCCTTTCTCCTGGAGGGAAATTTGGCAGGATTCTTGGAGTGAAAACAGTAAGAAGCTTTTCTACAAAGGACGCCTTGCGCCTATGCCGTATGCTTTTAGACTCACCTGATGTCTTTTCAAAAATACAACCCTGCCCAGGACATCAGGATAACAGTTCTTATATGACACCTGAGATAACATGGGAAGTGTGTGGAATTACCTCGGTGAGGCTGGTCAACAGCTTTCCCAGCTTTGGCTAGTGCTGTATGCCACTGTTAGCACTGCGCTTACAAATCTTTCAAAGGGAAATGGAGGGGAGAGAATGAAGGTGCCAAGAAAAGCAAATTTCCCTCTGTATTTGCCAAAGCCCAGTGTGCTGCTACAACTGGGAGGCAATGCAAGGATTCAAATGCTGATATTTCCATCATCCAAAGAGCTCTCACTTGCTCACTCTTACATTACCTGTTGCATTTTGTTGATAAAAGCATCAATAAAATCTCGAGGGCAGCTGGGATCAAAAGATTCCTGGTGTGCTTTTACAATTTCAGTTATGAAGTCATCAACTTTATCAATGTTTTTTATTATTGCTTTATGAGGCCCAGGTAAAGAATCCAGGATGGTTGGGAAGAAATTGTAGAGCTGTGATAGTAAAAGGAAAGAAAAGCATATTTTGGTTGAACTGCTTACAATGAATTGTTCCCCTAACTGTTAGTATGAGAAGGAATAAACTTTCGGAAATGTAGGTCTATATTAATCAATTGGTTTTTAATGCCTTTTACATCACGGCTTGACTAGATTCAAGGAAAGACATCATTTCAGGTACTTTTGCAATTACACCCTTCCTTGGACGTGCAATTGGAAGTGCAGAAAGTTAAAAAAAAAAAAAAAAAAAGAAAGAAAAGCACAAAGGAGTTGGCCATGTAACTGACTTTTTGGCCTTCAAAATTCTTTTCCATGTTTAGGGGAATTCATACCAGTGAAAAATTAATAACATGAATGAATAATCACTTTAAAACCACAATAATTCATACATTTATTAATGCAATGAAACTGCACAAACCTGTGTTTGTATTCTGTTCTGGTACTTTTCATTTTCTTCCAGCATGTCAATTAAATCCAGAAATTTCTTGTCCTCATAGTCAAACCGATCCCCAAATACAATGGAGCAGATGATGTTGGAAACAGCATGTATTAAAGACACAGTAGGATTGAAAGGTTTCTCTGCAACATAAGAAAAAATCACTTGCTTTCAGTATTTCAGTCATGATCTCCTTCCCTGACACCTATGGGGAAGTTTTGCATTCACTTGAGACCCAGATTTGTGCAGTCCTTTAAGAAGGTAGTGAGAGGCTTAGCCAATTGGTTCTTCTCTATTTGTAAATAACTGATATCCTATCTGAATTGTTTAAGTCCCTGTCCCAGAGATGGAGGATTTCAGTGGTGCATCAGCAATGCAGTGTTATTGACAGGAAAAGAGCAATGCAGGTGAGCATTTTTCTCTCAGATTGATAGCAGGGATATTTATGTGTGAATCCAGACTGAATTTTCTAGTGGCTCATGGAGAGCAGTGGTACTTTGGCATCTTATTGGGTCTGTCAGCATTTTTTCCTCCTTGTGGAACATCACACATGAAGGCTGTCTATTGAAAGGAAGCTTAGTGTCCAGGGTATTACCACTCTCAGGGGAGGTTCTTAAAAGAAATAGTATTTACATCCTACCAGAAATGCATGTATAGGTTAAAAAAGCAGAAATGGAGCTGTATGCTCACTTCCTGGGTAAAAATTTTGATGAAGCGGTGGCACAACACTCACTATCTCATTGCAGATATGCAACATTTCCCAGCAACTGCATGCCAATGTCCTACCATGTGTGTTCCTGATCCTCTCCACCAGAAAACGAGCTTCCTCCTGGATTCGCTCCTCAATGCCCTTCTTCCCCATTCCAAAATCACGCAGGGTGGTGAGGGTAAATCGTCGTATCTGCCTCCAGGTCTCCCCATTGCTGGTCAAAATGCCTGTCATGAAAAGGAAAAACAGACTCCATGAGGAAACAGATTTTCACCCTCCCGCTAGTCCCCCACATAGGTGTCTAACACAATTGCTATATGCCCCACACCCTAACATTCCGGCAGTTCTGGAGGTGACAAATTGACCAATCTGACCAAGGCACCATTGTTTATTTCCAGAATAGGAGAAATGACACTGGGCTGTCAATAAAAAGGCAGCACTGGTACTAAAGTCAACTTGGCCACAAGTAGATGGCTAAGATGAATTCCCAAATGCTTTATGCATTGTACCATCACCGAATACATTGAGGAAGTAAAAAATAATAGCATGGAATAACCATTTGCCTGGATAAACAGTCTAGTGGAGACTGTTGTGGTGAAGGAGCCCAGGGCCTCATGTTAGTATGACCCTTAACCAGTGTTAAGGCCTTTATTTGCTTGTCAGTGTTGTACTCTGGAATTTCCATTTGATGGCACCTGTGCTGTAGGGCCTTGGGCAGTATTTTCAGAAATGGAAGAATAACAGCAATATCTTAGCGGCACCTTTTGTCAACCAAATTTTAGCCAGAATTTGAAGGTGCTGAAAATAGAAAGGAACTCCCTGAAGCCAGCCTAGGACCTTAAACAGTTCTCCACCTACTGCTAGGTCCAAGGACTGAGTTGGGCTTTTAATACTTTATTCCTCATTTTTATATGTAAACATTGTGCTTGAAGTCCACCAGTCGCTCCTCCACTGCCCTTACAGGTGCATTCCTGTACCAAGGACAAGATCAGTTCTGTATGGCAATATTACCAGGAAGTACCTATGCCTTTGAAAACTTTCTCTAAAAGTGGCAGATTGCCTCTCCCACTGAAGGCGTCTCCATTATCAATCAGGGCTTCTTTCACAACATCGTAGCCATAGAGCACCACAACCTTTTTGGGGCCTAGATGTACTGTGAAGATAGGGCCGTACTTTTTGCTGAGCTGTAGGAAGGAAGAACACAAGGAACAACACATCTGGATGTTAATCATGGGAAAAAGAAATTTGCAGCTTCATATGAAGGTTCTTTTCTTTTTTTTTTTTTTTTTTTTTTTTTCAGAAAGTATTTGCAGATTGTGTACCACAGTGGCAGACAAAAGGTCTCTTCCCTTTTGCACCAATCCCTAGAGCATTGTAACTTCATCCTGGTGGGAGGCACACTGTCACTCACACTGCAGAAGACTGGAGCACGCTTTGGTTCAGCAGAACTTCACCTTAGTAAGTGCTAATGGTGTGTGATACAAGAACTGGGAAACACACTGACTCAAGCACAAGTAGTCCACAAGGATTAAATGTGCCAGGCACACACCTCAGAGCCTTCCACATGTACTATGATTTGAGGAACTATTTTGCTGTTAATACTTTGCAACATGGGGCAGGTAAACAGAGGCTGAAAAGAAGAAAGAGAAGGAGGTTGTTGGCAGTGACACTGAAAAATCTACTATTGCATGAACCAGTGGCCTGATGTCTCACAATCAGGAAAATGCTACACGGCCACGGTGTTTTATTCTATTGTTGCATTTGCTGGGACTGGGTGTGTGCCCAGAACTTCCCAACAGGCCTGCTTTCTCAGTGTGACTGGGAACTGCCTACAGAAGGTCCTCAGGTGGAGAATAAGAGCCCTGCTCAGAGTGTCTGGAAACCATGTAATTCCTCATTCTTTTGCATCCATTACCACCATCCCATCACAGTACCCTCAGGATCAGGCTCCACAGCCAAACTTACTCCACCTAATCTCATGCAGGCACTGCAGCACAGGCGTTTGTTTTTTTTTTTGACAGATGCATGGCAGTATCCATGGGAGGGAGCAGTCGGCGCCATTCACCTTCAAACTCGTCTGTTTGGCCCTTGTACTCACAAATTCTCCTCCCAATAGATTGTACTGACATGCCAGGGAGCTGGTGGCCCTGCATGTGGCAGGGGGTTTGGAGATTCAGGATCCTGGAGGTCCCTTCCAACCTGGGCCATTCTGTGATTCTGTGATTCTGACAGCTGGTCAAACAATATTGGCATTATCTTGTGAATTAAGATGAGTGGAGATAACACAGGAAAGAAAGAGACATTCTTACCTCCTTGAAGCTTTCCATCAAGTCCCTTGGGTTCAGCTGAAAAATATTTCCAATTATGGGGATTGGTGTGGGACCAGGAGGCTCCTTCGCTCTTTGTGATGAACTTCTCCATGCAGCAATGAGAAGGCATGAGATGCAGGCCAGCAAGAGGATTGTTGGCCATCCCAAGAACTCCATGGCGGGCTGAGGAAGGGATGCAAATTGTCAGGTGAGTTTGAACTGGGACCTGCAAACTGGAGGTTATTTATAAGCTGTAGGAGAAAAGCACGTGGATTACATCAGCCAATATCACGTCCCTGTTCCTGCTGAGGCAGCAGATTACTTATTAATCTGCTCAAGATTAGAATGAGCAAATTAGGGATGAACACCTTTGGGTTATCATCCATGTGGTACCAATAACAGTCTAATGCTGCCAAATGATCTCAAAATGCAGAAATACTAAAGCCCATCTGCGGAATGTATGCTTGCTGTTGTCCTTATGCCTAGGGTGATTTCTGGCTGCTTCTCCAACATGTGTGCGGAGTGGAGGGAGCTGTGGATGAAATAGGGGCATCTTCACAAGTGTTTTATAGGTATTTCACCTTCACTTCTTGAACGGAGTGAGAACATTGGTCTGAGGTCACGCATGCAGATTTCCAGGGAAAAAAACTGCATTTTTCCTAATCTCTTTTATACAGTCCACAGTATCCATAGCAATTGCTGGAAGATTTGAAAAGTTATCCACAAAGCACAGAGCCCTGTGGCAGCCTGTGCTCTCCTTCGACGTGTGATGTTTCAAGAAACTTTCTGAATATCCAGAGAAGGTGTGAAGATCCATGAAAGTTAATGGCATTCTGATCAGGGAGTAACAGACTGAATGGTTTTATTAGTAGTAGTTATTTAATAGAACACAAAAGCATAGGTGATGTACTACACTTCTGACTACTCTTCCTCACACGTAACATAGTATCCAGATCTAGTTTCTGGGATACAAATTCTGAGACAAGACCATGAAAATTTCAGCATTCAATGATTTACAAAACATGCATACTTGTAACATGCTATGCTGGTAGGGCTCAAGATAAGATAAAGACCTTCTTGTTATCTTTCAGGTGATTGCAGAAATGCCATTTGACCAGCCAGCACAAAAGATTTGATTAAATATTTGTGTTTGAACTCACAGGACCCAAAACACAACTCAGTTGACTCAGGACCAAGCCAGTGACGTGAGTTCTGCTCTTCAGTCAATTGGAATGTGGAGCACACTGTTACACCCTGGCTTGATCTTGTAAAGTGCAAGGAAGTTAATGTAGTATCAGCCTTGGTGCGGCTTGTGCAGTGACTCTAGCAGTAAGCCACTGTGTTGTTGTTCCTGTTGATGATCATCTTTGAATAGAGGTTTGCTTCAAAGTATAGTCAACATGAAATGAGAAGAGGCCCTTCCCCAAGCCAGGCAGCAAGTCAGGAACTGGGACACTAAGTTGACAAGTGTGCGTGCTTTGCCAACTGTGCATACGTTCAAGAGAAATGATGATGTGCAAGTTCACCAAGTGACAATATAAAACCTCAGAAAGGCCCTGTGCAGCTGATTGGAACCAGGTGAACAACACAAATTCTGTCATACAGGAGATTAATCAATTCTACTCATTTGTGCCACTGAATGTCTCCCCTGCTACAACCACAGATGTCCTGCTCAAACTGTACCTCCTCCATTAAATCTGTTCCAAATTTTCTGTAAGTGATTGTGTTCAGGCCTTGAAGTTCAGGCCTGCTGGAAGAGGCTCAGAAGCAACTCTCTCTTTTCCTCTTTCAGAATTTGCAGGAAATCAGTGAGTTTAAATTACAGTCCCAAAAGATTAGAGCTTGAGAAGCCTTCTGATGGAAACCACTTCGGCTTGGCTCAAAGCTGTGCATGCAGCCATTATTTTTTAATAGTTAATACAAGATGAATGTATGTGCTTAACTAACATGGGAGGTGGAGATATTGGTATCACGTCCAGGAAACAAAGCAACGGATACTAAATCTGGTGATAAGCATTTGCTGACAGTCAGTGATTTCTGTCTTAATACGCAGAGCCTTTATTAAGGCTGAAATAACCTGAGCTTTGAGATGACATCAGTAGGGAATTTAGGAAAGCTGTCTCAAGCACAGTTGTTTGATAGGCCCAACACTGAAAAAGGTGGAAGCCTCCACCCTCTAATGCAGGGTCTTTGTGTTTGTTAATCTCAGGTATCTGAGTATGCACTGTCATGGAGAAGTGAAGGCCAAACGGCAGTAGGGAACCAAGGTTCCTGCAGTGAACAAGTTACGTTTGAAGAAATCAGGTAAGTCCAGTGCAGACCTCATGCCTAGGTTTTGACAACTTAATTTCAGCTACTTGGATACCCATTCTCAATGTTTACTACATAGGATGCTGCTGTCTGTATTCCTTGCAGCGAGACAAATCCAGCTCCAGCTCCAGCTCAATCCATTTCTTGGTGTATGGGACCTGCTGAATCACAGCCTGAACCTCTGATTGACCTCCTGAGGCGAGCACTGAGTCAGCCCTGGGAGCACAGGTGAAGGCAGTTCAGCTGTGTGACTGGAAGGGTTGGAGCCTGGCTGCACCTCACCTAGACCCCATTTAAGGCCGACAGCCCCTGGGGAGGGATCTCTTTCTGGAGATTGCTCCCTTTGGCATTTTTTTCTGTAAGCCAAGGACATGGCTGAGTTTTTTTTGTTTTTTTTTGTTATTATTGTTATTATCTGTTTCCACCATGGTAATCCTTCTAGTTACACAGCCTGTGAAGTACCGGCCTCTCCATGCTGCTCTGCTATTTGTGTGTTTGTTGATTGTGCACTTTACACTTGGATGGGAATGGTGGCTTCAAGGTTAGGGTGTTGTTCCTCTCTTTTTCTGGAAGGAGTTAAACTGTGTTTCTTTCAGATCTCAGATCTCTCCTCTTCCTCGCCTTAGAAGGAAGTGTCTACAGCAGTGACTGTTAGTGCCTTTGCTTTCCTTAATGCCTCTCTTGTTGTAGCAGAGCCTACAGTTTTGTTTTTTGCTGCTGCCTCTGCATTCATTATGCTCAAGTGCCCAACTTGGGAGTGTCTCAGTCATGCTGGAACACATCTGCCGTTTACTGATTAATGTCATATTAACTTAGAATGGTGGCTCAGGCAAGTGCTGCTGCCCTGCTAGGGGAAACAGCTCAAGTGGCTTTTTTATTTATTTCCTGGGGTGTTTCATAGACAAGAAACTCAGGGACCTCTTTAGTGGGCCTGAACCCTGCTGGTTCTGTCCTCTGTTACCACTTGGCCAACTGGCTGACACTTCCACAGGTGCTTTCCAGCTCCCTAGCAACTCTTTATACTTCCAGACGTTCTTAAGTCCTTGGAATTAATAGCAACAGGGCAAAGAATGAATTAATCAAGGTTAAAGCCTCTGTTTGTGTTGCTGAGTGACAAGACTTTGTGTCAAATCTGCCATGGGAAGTCAAGTAGCCCGGCCTCAGTTCTGCAAATAAGATACGATTTTCGGTGTACTGGCCCACCAGAAGTAAGAGCCTTGACAGCACTGAGCGTGAGCAGGCACACAGAAAGAGCAGTATGGCTGCATGGAGAGAGAGACTTTTATTGCCTGTTCCTTTCTAAGTAATGTTGTCCAGTTTAGCAGGTGACAAAACATCTGACCCTTAATCTCTCAGGAAGTGCTAATTCCGCTTTGTGTTCCATCAGGTGAATTCAGTGGAAATGCAAGCAGCCATTGGTTGCACTTGCACTGCTGCTTGTACCACGGCACAGTGAGACGCCAGGTGAGACTGGTAGGGCACGGCTTTGGTGCTTCTCTGTATGATGGTGGAGTCTTTGGGAGCTACAGCTTCTTTTTTTTTTTTTTCTCGTCCTTTTGCTGCTTGGCACAGGCTGCCTTCTTGTCTGTTCAGCATGGAGGAAAGTGTCTGGAACAGGCAGGTTGCCTCCCAAGCCACTTAGCCATGGCAAAGTTAAAGGAAGGAGCTTTCCCTTTTTTTTTTTTTTTTTTGTCTTTCTGAAAAGGCGACTTCTAACACTTGGTCCAGGTTACAAATTCTAACAAGATAGATGATATTTTTCATGTATTTTCTTTATTTGTTTGTCTGTCAATCTGTGATGTATATTTTCTTTGAGCTTTTGTTGCACCAAACAAATAACTCGTGGTATTTCAAGGCTATTAACACAGCGAAAGAAATGAACGTTTGGCTGCTTACCTGCCCATTCATTAATGCTCCTGTGGTGACATTTCAACTGCTGTATTATTCCACATAGCTCAGACTCAGCTCTGTCACTGCAATTACAGTAAGCTACACTGCAGAGAATGTGATCAATCTGGGAAATGCCTGTCCTACATTTCTTTGTTAGCTCATAGAAAGCCTTTACCTAAAGCTCGTCAAGTTTCCTCAGTGATTCTTACATACTTCAAAAAAGTAATGGGAAGATTCAAGCTGCCTTCATGGAGATCCCAGCATTATTTCACGCTCTTTTCTCTCAATGAGCAGTGCTTAATTGCTCTTTTAATTCTGACAGGCCCAGTAAGTGCAGTCCAGCCAGTTCCCACGTGCTTAGTGAGACCGGAGGTTTTCTAGATGGTGTCTCAAAGCCAGAATGCATTTCTTCTAAATGAGTGAAAAGAAATAGTCAAGGTATGTACCTATTTTGGACAGCGTGTGGGAGTCTAAGCTTTGTGGAGGATTGTTTTCTGCTGGAGCATGTCCTTCCAGGATCACATAGAAAAGCATAAATCTTGTGTCTGTAAAGAATTTAGGAAGTTATCTGATTGTCTCAGTCACATCAGGGTGGGCAATGACTGTTGTCCAAGGAGAGTTCTGATGTTGGAGGTGGCTTGACAACTGTCTTCACTTGTCTAACGTGGAATAAATGAGATCTCATAAGGTCGAGGTGCGTTTGTCAATGAGGTGAATATGGGAGAAGTGTCAACATCCTTGTGATCTACAACGGGCTTCAGAGTAAAGTTCTGCAGGATGGATGTTAAAAATAAGAATATCTCCATGCGGGCCAGACCTTCTCCTGCACAGATGCGTTTTCCTGCAAGGAAAGAATGAGGAGAACAGGAGATGATGGTAGAGTACTTTTGCTGGTAACTTATTTTAACCCCTCTGCCGTGAGAGTTCTGACGTCTCAGAGTGGGCATGCAGCACTGCATCCTTCTGGGGAAGTGAGTTGAATTAAACTGAGGTCTCAGTGTTCAGAACAGTGTGAGAGTACTGGGTGGGCCAATGCAATTTGAAGGTTTCAGTTTCTCGTGTTGTGTTGCTGCTTTATGGCTAGCTAGGAGAGAGAAGTGGCACGGCTACAAATCCCACTTCATGCATCTTTTCTTGGAGGATGCATCAGAGGAGCTCTGGTACTTGTTAAGAAAAGGAGGTAAACTGAAACTGTAGTATATGGGGTAGAGCTTAGCTGCCCAGAAGTTAGCAGCAGATCTGCAGACATCACTGTTCAGGCAGGGATGACAGAGCCACTGAAATGTCTGAAGAGGTTCTGGGAGAGGATAGTCTAGGTCCTGACGTAGAAAGAGCTCTTTACCTGTGGAAAATGGCAAGAAGTAGTCACTCTTTCTGAAGGTACCATCTGCATTCAGGAAATGTTCCGGGTCAAATTTTTCTGGATTAGGAAATTCCTTGGAGTCGTGCAGGATGGGAGACAGCAAAGGGAATATCATGGTGTCCTGAATAAGCATAGAGAGGAGAAAGTTAAGTGGAGACATGCCAAAGTGAAGCCCCATGGATCAGTTCCCACAGCTGAATACATGAAAAGCCCTGCTTTGGTGACTGCTGTGTGATCCCAGTAAGCTTCACTGTCTGTCAGAATTAAGTGTTGAAATCCCATTAGAAAAGCTGCTGTAAATGCAGAAATTGCCAGCGGTGGAGTCCTGGGGACATGTAGGAAGCTTTTTTTCACAGCAGCCATTCATATCTGGGAGCCAGCTAGCTACCTTTCCTCATAGTTGCAGTTCATAGAGTAACAGCAGTATAACTGTTTGTATTGGAAACAAATAGTACGTACAGACTGGCTCATAAAAGGAAGGCTACAACATTGTATAACTCAGTGCATAGCATCACCAGAGAAGGACAACTCCCTCTCAGAAATCAAATAATTCTGATTCTGTATTGCTCTCCAGTGTGTATGTAATTTAAGTAAAGCATAATTAATATAGCACAGCAGGGGATTATGGATGTTCCCAGCATCAGACCTTGGGTATGAAATAGTCTCTGAGCTTGGTGTCCTTGGTCACAGCATGTGGAACGTTGAGGGGAAGGAAATCAATGAATCTCTGGATTTCATGGACCACAGCATCTGTGTATGGCATCTGGCTCCTGTCTGCCATGCAGGGGCTTCGGTCTCGGCCCACCACACGGTCAATCTCCTTGTGAATTTTCTCTGTTGGGGAATAAGTAAATTGAATGGATGTTTCCCAAAGCCTTTCCTCACAGTTGCAGCAAGGACAAGAACACAGGAACATACTTGGTACTGATGGCTCTCTGCTGGAAGTAAACCTAGGACTGATGGACATCTCTGCTATTAGGGACTGTTGCCACCAGTGGTAGTGACAAAAACTGTCTGCTTTGAACCCATGGCCTATGATATATCTTCAAGTAAATATTCCCTTTCCTCTTACCTTCAATCTCTGGGTATTTCTGGAGAATCAGGAGTCCGAATCTCAGTGTGGTGCTGGTTGTCCCAGTTCCCGCAAGGAACAAGTCAAGTGTGGTCCTGGTCAAGGACTCAACAGTGAAAATAGAGTTCCCTTTCTCCTGGAGGGAAATTTGGCAGGATTCTTGGAGTGAAAACAGTAAGAAGCTTTTCTACAAAGGACACCTTGTGCCTATGCCGTATGCTTTTAGACTCACTTGATGTCTTTTCAAAAATACAACCCTGCCCAGGACATCAGGATAACAGTTCTTATATGACACCTGAGATAACATGGGAAGTGTGTGGAATTACCTCGGTGAGGTTGGTCTACAGCTTTCCCAGCCTTGGCTAGTGCTGTATGCCACTGTTAGCACTGTGCTTACAAATCTTTCAAAGGGAAATGGAGGGGAGAGAATGAAGGTGCCAAGAAAAGAAAATTTCCCTCTGTATTTGCCAAAGCCCAGAGTGCTGCTACAACTGGGAGGCAATGCAAGGATTCAAATGGTGGTTTTCCCATCATCCAAAGAGCTCTCACTCGCTCACTCTTACATTACCTGTTGCATTTTGTTGATAAAAGCATCAATAAAATCTCGAGGGCAGCTGGGATCAAAAGATTCCTGGTGTGCTTTTACGATTTCAGAAATGAAGTCATCAACGTTATCAATGTTTTTTATTAGTTTTTGATGTGGCCCAGGTAAAAAATCTAAGGTGGTTGGGAAGAAATTGTAGAGCTGCAATGATAAAAGGAGGAAATGCGTATTTTGGTTGATGTGCTTGCAGTCATTTTTTCCCCTAACTGTCACTATGAGAAGCAGTAGACTCTTCTGAATCATGGTTTCACTATACTCAAGGAGTGAATTTACTTGAACTGCTTTAGCAGTTCTGTTCTGCTCTGGAAGTACAATGAGATTTCCATAAAATGAAATAGCATGCCAATGATAAATGAGTAACACAAATGAATATAACACTAATAACCTAAACCATTAATTCATTTATTAATTAAATGAAATTGCACAAACCTGTGTTTGTATTTTGTTCTGGTACTTGTTGTTTCCTTCCAGCATTTCAATTAGATTGAGAAACTTCTTGTCCTCATAGTCAAACCGATCCCCAAATCGAGCAATGGAGCAGATGGAGCAGATGATGTTGGAAACAGCATGGATTAAGAATTTACCAGGGTTGAAAGGTTTCTCTGCAACAGCAACAACAGAAAGGTAACTTGCTTTCAGTACTTTAGTCATCATGTCCTCCCCTTATAGCTCCAAGGAAGTTTTGCATTCACTTGAGTCCCAGATTTCTGCAGTCTTTAAAGAAGATAATGAGAGATTTATCCAATTTTATACTATACTTTATACTATACTTTAACTTGCGTTAAAGTCTCCTGCGAGCCTGCGGAATTTCCAATGCCGTAATGAGGTAATTACGGGTTGGCCGTGGAAGACCGTGGTGTTGCGGTATTCGCCTAAGGGCGTGCCTGCAGCAGCTGGCTGCTGTGGAAGTTCGAGGGTGGGGATAGCCTGTGGTTGGTGGCAGGTTGCTCTCGAATCGGGACATCAGTGCCGTGCTGGTGATGGATCAAGTTATTAAGTTGGTCCTTCAGTTCTGTAAGGACTATCACAGCAGGAATGCCCCTTCTAAGAAGGACATTTCAGTTGTACTTATTCACCTGGAAAAGGAGTGGAATCTTCCCTCCTCTCAGGACATTTTAGATCCTGATAAATGGGATCAGTTTACATCCACGCTTGCGCAGCGTGCGATAGAGGAGCAAAAAGCAGCGGAGCTAAAAATCTGGGGGTTAATTCTTGGGGCTCTTAAAGCCGCTAGAGAAGAAGATAGAATTCCTGAGGCTGCGCGCATTATGATGGGTTTGGAATTTACTAATGCCATGAGAAGTGGTGCGGAAAGCGTACTTTCTTGCAGGTCCCCTGAGGAAGAGAAAGCCACAAATATGCCCTCAACTATGGCGACTAACATCTCGTCCGCACCATCTGCACCCCCCTTCGCTCCCCCCTCGGCTTCAGCTTCGCATAAACAAGTAGAAGAAGACTGCGCTAAACTGTCTGCACTTTTATCATGCAACACCGGCCAAGTGCAGGAATCCAAGGTCGTTGAAACTCCCCAGCCGTATCCACGACAACCGCTGTATCCTTCTCGTTGTAATCTAATACCACCTGCGGGGGCAGGGAAAGAAGTGAGCTGGGATGGGACACTTGCTGTCTCCTCTGAGGAGGTGGAATGCAGTAGCACCCATGGGGGTGGGGACTGCGGGCAAGGCTCGGGTATGGATTGGTCAAAAGTTAGAGAGGCGGTAGAAGAAAAAACAGCAGATAGAAAGGGAAGCGATGTAACTTACAGGCGCTCGGATGATAACGTCCGGCCAGCACTGTCCACCCTGATCGCGCCTGAAGGAGTAGGTGGCGTGTGGGCAGCGCTGTCGGCTCAGGTTGCACCCGTAGGAGAAAGACAAAATGACGAGAGTCTCCGGACCCACTCCCTACCACAGCATTCAGACCCACTGATTCGACCCACACATCCTTTTACAAGATTGAGTGCGCATGCAACCAATCAGAAGTCTCTACAACAGTCAGTGCATGATCGAAGGGAGATGGGTCTGAGGGGAGGGGTGCGGAGCCCGCAGCTTCCAGCTGTGACTGAAAAGGATAGTGAAAGGAGAGAGGTGAATTTGCATTTGGAAGTTAAGAGAGATGCACTAACAGATTGTGGGAAGTTTAGATCTAGCCTGATAGAGGAAGCAAGAGTACTAGAGATCTTCCTGATAGTAGGGAACGATAACAGAGGCCCAGAAGGGGTACCCCTCAATCCGAAAGACATCACACACCTGATAGATTGTGCAGAGAAACAGGGATTGAAATCACTCCTTGCTCTAAATGCATTAGAAGTCCTGACAGCATCAGGTCTTCTCTTTCCTCATGATTCAACAAATCTGATGTGCATGGTTTTTAAGCCAGTGCAGTATACATTGTGGGCATCAGAATGGGTTCCCTTCAGAGACAGGTGGCCAGATTGAGGCCTAAGAGAACAAGCAACAAGGATTTGCTTGTGAGAGCAATGCTCTCAAGGCTTGAGACATCTGCCTTGAACCTGAATAAAATGTTTGTCATTTGGAGGTACATTCCAACAGGTACCTGAGGCAAAGTTGGCATATATTGGGAAAATAACCTGGTTATGTTTGTATAAGGATCCTTTGTAATTTCATACTCATAGATAGTGCCACTAGA